AGAGCATATGTGGGGTATTCAAAGGAATATGATTATTGTCACCTACAAAGATTACAAAGGAGGTGGTAATTTTATTCTAAAAAGAAAATGGGTAGGTGTTTTGAAGTCTCTTGTAAACTCTTTCATGTAGTGCCCTCCTCCCCCTCCTGGGCCTCCTGTGGTTTCTCCTGTTTCCATTGTTTTATCCATCAATGTTACTCCTTTATTTGGTTTTCCATCATGACTTAAGTTTACAAATAACAGTGTGATAAATATTTCTACAGAATACGCAGAAACCAAGATTTTGATTTTAGATACTTTTAATTTGTCGTTGATATCCCTCTATCTCAATGCCAAGATCCCAAAGCCAACAGGTTTGATATAATGAGTATTATAGTCTGGAAGAACAATAGTCGGTGAAATGATCCTAGGTATTTTCAGGTTGAGTGCCCTTTGGTTCCAAAACCCAACTAAGCCCAGCAGTGACGGCTGAGCAAAAAAATGGTGGTGTTATACTGACTATCAGCTACCAATAGAAGCAAACACATATAAGAGCTCAATTAACACGCTTTAACAACAATAGCAGGCAAAAAAATCCTAGCTATGAGTAGCATTTGATTCCAAAATCCAAATTAAATCCTAGAAGCGATCTCCCCATGCAAACAAAAGTGGCATTTTATATGTATAGTTAACAATAGAAATCAAATTAATCAAAAAGGTTAAAATAGATTCAACTAACAAATTCTGGTGGTCCAGCTGATACCGAATTGACTCACTCATCTATTACCGTTACTATTTCTGGTGGTCCAGCTGTTATTGCTCCTACTGTTCAGATTTCTCAGACAGATTATGAGAGGTTACGCCAGCTAGAACTCTCTCAGAACATTCATTCTGCTACTCATGCATCCTCTTCAGGTATGGATGCTTACATAGCTTCTTCTCACAAACCCTGGGTACTAGATTCTGGAGCCTCATCTCATATGACAGGTATAAATGATCACTTTGTATCTTTACATTTTTCTGATAAGTTTCCTTCTATCCGCATTGCTGATGGTACTCTTTCTCCAGTTCATGGTGATGGAGTAGTTCATGCTACTTCCTCTTTAAAACTAACAGATGTGTTATATGTTCCCAAATTTTCTGTTAGCCTATTATCCATTAGCAAGTTTATAAAACAAAATAACTGTAAAGTCACATTCTTTCCATCTTATTGTGTTTTTCAGGATCTAACAACTGGGATGAAGATTGGTTCGGGGCATGAGAGAGGAGGTATGTACTATTTGGACGACAGTGTGCCAGAGGTTGGTCTTGTTGCATCACAGTCTGACTCTCATTTATTGTGGCACTGACGTCTGGGTCATCCTTCACTACAAAAACTTAGATCGGTAGTTTCTGTTCAGTCATCTATTTCCTCTTTAGGTTGTGAGTTTTGTGAACTGGGTAAGCATCATCGTGCTACTTTTCAGAGTCGAGTCGATAAACGTAGTAGCTTTGCTTTTGAGTTGGTTCATTCTGATGTCTGAGGTCCTTATCGTGTTCCCTCTGTGAAAGGTTTTCGATATTTTATTATCTTTGTTGATGATTTCTCTCGCATGACATGGCTTTATCTGTTAAAAGAGAGGCCAGAGGTCTCGCATGTTATTGAACTCTTTTATAATGAAATAAAAACTCAATTCTCTACTTCTGTCCGTGTTCTTCGTACTGATAATGCTTTGGAATATATGAAAGGTGATGTTTCAAAATTTTGTGCTCTTAATGGTATTATTCATCAGACTTCTTGCTCTCACACTTCACAACAAAATGAAGTTGCTGAGAGGAAGCATATGCATATTCTAGATGTTGGTAGAACACTGATGATACATATGAATATTCCAAAGTATTTGTGGTCTGATACTGTTCTCACTACAAATTATTTGATTAATCGCATGCCTTCCTCTATCCTTGATGGTTTAATACTATTCAATTGTCTTTATCCTGATAAAAAGCAATTCTTTATGATTCCTCGTGTCCTTGGTTCTACATGTTTTGTTCAGGATTTAACTGCTGGTTTGGATAAGTTGTTTTCTAGATCCATCAAATGTGTTTTTGTTGGATATTCTCGTACTCAAAAAGGGTATAAGTGTTATCATCCATCCACCAGGAAATATTTTGTGTCTGCTGATGTTACTTTTTTTGAGTCTGTCCCCTATTTTTCGTCTGCTGCCACTAGTATTGGGTGTCTAGAGGTACCTCTATCTTCCTCTGCTTCTACTATTATTCCATTACTTGCTCCTGTAGCTCCTGCACCGAAGCCTCTACTGACATACTCTCGCCGTCCGAAAGTACATGCCCCTGAATCTGCTTCGCCGTTTGGGGCTGTGTGTGGCACAAGTCCCTTTTGGCGCTGTCCATGTGGGTCATCGTTCACTGTATTCATCCCTACTTTGGTGATGTGCTCTGGTTTGAACCATGTTGTGGGCACCGACCCAAAACTGATGGACACCGCGTTTGCTCCAACATTCTTGGACGGCTTCGGGGTGATAACGCCTACATCAATTAGCGCCTGGATGAATCTTCATCTCCAGCTGTCGGTCCATCTCATATTGAGAACTCTATTCCTTCTGACTTGGATATCTCTATTGCTCTTCGAAAAGGTAAACAGTCTTGCCCGAAATATCCTATCTCTCTTTTTATCTCTTATGACCGTCTCAACCCATCTTTTCATCAGTTTGCTTTGTTCTTGTCCACTGTATCTATACCCAGGTCACATGAGGAAGCTATGTTAGTACTAGCTTGGAAGCAGGCTATGAATGAGAAAATGAATGCACTACTTTCTAGAGGAACTTAGGACTTGGTTTCTCTTCCTACTAGAGTGACTGTGGTTAGTTACAGATGGGTGTATATCCTAAAATATCGCCCCGATGGGTCTGTTGATCGTTACAAAGCTCGCCTGGTTGCTAAAGGTTATACCCAGACATATGGTGTCGACTATTTTGAAATATTTTCTCCTGTTGCTCGTCTCAACTCCATCAGAATTCTTTTTTCTCTAACTATTAATATGGATTGGGCGATGCACCAACTAGATGTGAAGAATGCTTTCCTTTATGGTGATTTGGACGAGGAGGTTTATATGGAGCAACCTCCTGGATATGTTGCTCAGGGGGAGAATATTATCTGCAGGCTGAGAAAGACCATCTATGGGTTAAAGCAGAGTCCTCGAGCTTGGTTTGATAAGTTCAGCAAGGTTATTTCTAATGTTGGTTTCCAATGATGTCAGTCTGATCATTCTGTCTTTCTTCGACGCATAACTGGTTTGGTTATTTTAACCGTATATGTTGATGATATTCTGCTGACTAGGAGTGACTCTGTTGCCTTAGCTGAGACTAAGGAGTATCTAAACCGTTATTTTGTCACTAAGGACATGAAAAAACCAAAGTATTTTCTTAGGATTGAAGTTGCATATCAAAAGCATGGCCTGTTGTTGTCCCAAAGGAAGTATGTGCTAGATTTACTAGAGTTGCATATCAAAAGCATGGCCTGTTGTTGTCCCAAAGGAAGTATGTGCTAGATTTACTAGAAGAAGCAGGTCTCTTGGAATGCATCCCAAAGGAAGTATGTGCTAGATTTACTAGAAGAAGCAGGTCTCTTGGAATGCAAACCTGCAAGCACTACAATGAAGGCAAATGTTAATTTGTGGCGTGATGATACCTATCTAATAGATGATACTGGACAATATAGGAGACTAATTAGGAAGCTAATATATTTGACAGTTACCAGACCTGATATTACTTTTGCAGTAGGTGTACTGAGCAGGTTTATGTACAAACCTAGAGAGGTTCATTGGACAGCAGCTCTAAAAAATTTGGCATGTCAAGAATTGTCCTGACAAGGATTGCTATATAAGAAGCATAGGCATACTCATATTTCGGCTTTCTCTGATGCTGGCTACGCAGGAGACATGGGAGACCGAAAGTCCATCTCAGGATTCTGTACTTTTGTTGGAGGAAATCTTGTGACTTGGAGAAACAAGAAACAAGATGTAGTATCACGATCTAATGCAGAGGCCGAATATAGAGCAATAGCTCACACTGCTTGTGAGATGGTGTGGCTACAAAAGTTTATGACAGAGCTTGGTTTTGTTCAACCTGGACCCATGCTAATGCATTGTGACAATCAGTCTGCCATTTATATTGCACAGAATCCTGTGCTTCATGAGAGGACAAAACATATTAAAGTTGATTACAATTTTGTTAGAGATGCTTGTGAGAAGAAGATAGTATCTCTCATATTCACTCCACAGCAATTTGCTGATATTCTTACCAATGTTACTTCTTCAAAGGTGTTCCCTACTATATGTGACAAGCTGGGCATGATAAATATCTATACACCAGCTTGAGGGGGAGTGTGAAATTAAGTATTGGGTATTGGGTTAATGGACTATTACCCGTTAACCTTAACCCTATTTGTATGGCTATATATATCTCTCTTATTATCTCAATAAACAAATAAGTTAGGGTTTTGCTCTTTCTATTATCTCTTTCTACAAGATTCAACTAACAAATTCAATAATCTAACTTTGAACAGTTATTTCTTATTACTAGAGTGCCTTTGTTCCAAGAATGTACCTCCACAATAAATAATTCCTGTCCTGAGATTCACTATAAATTCTTATACCCATCATCACATTGAAAACTTGAGCTTTCTGAAGCATAAATCAGCACAATAAGGGCATGCATTGCACTGATAGCTATTCCAACAGAATAGCTATTCCAACAGAGATAGAAAGATGTGGTGCACTAATAACAAAGCAGATAAAAGCATCATTGTTCGATGACTTGGTAAATTACCATAGGTGTCAAGGGAGTGGCGGAGGGTGAAATGTAATTTTAGTTCAGTACAAACATATGCATCTAGTAATTGCTACATGACAAAGTTGTGGATTCAGAGGAAGTCAATCACGTATTAAACGCAAACAAGGAAGTTGTATGGTACTTCTAACAAGTTTTAAGAGGCAAAAGGACAAGAGATGAAGTATATCTCACCTTATTATTGGTTCTCTTGATGGCCTACAGGTTTTTTTTGACTGATCTCCAACCCATTCTCTTCTTCTCTCATGCCAAGCTATAGCAGCTAGAACATAATACACACATAAACCTTGAGATCTTCAAGGGTAGTACAGACATAGTTGAAGCAAAAAAGCGAAAGAAGAAAATTGGTGCAGTAAAGGCTTACAAAACAGACCAGGCACAAAAATGAGTACTAAATTACCAAGTTAAGAGGACAAGCCCCAGATTACAGATAAATTAGATTGCATACCAAAAATATTTATAATTTTCGCATGAATCAGCTCTTCAACCTCACCGAAAGTTAAGAGGGAAAGCCCCAGACAACAGACAAATTAGATTGCATGCCAAAAATATTTATGTTTTTTGCATGAATCAGCTCTTCAACCTCACTGAATAAAGCAAAAATTTGTGGGCATCGTCACAGTGGGGAAGGTGTAAATAAACATCTTTAGAGATAAAATTGTCAAACGGGATACTGAAACTCTTCATTTTAATTAATAGCAAAAACAGCAAATAATTACAATACCCGATTACTTTCAGCACGCTAGTTAATTAATCAGGCAAATACAAAACCAGTAGCACAAACCAATGATAATTTTTCTGAGATCTTTTCAAATTCAGAAATTAATCAATAGTATAGACAGATTGAAACATTTGGTTGAAGAAACAAATAAACAGATGGGGACAATAGAATGGAATGGAATGGAATAGAAGGGACTATATCAGAACAGAGAAAAAGATGCATGGCTCTACAGGCATAGCTAAGACAGCATACAGTTTAAAAATGAGTAGTCAGCTCAGTCATAAATTTATTAACTTAGAGCCGGTTCTTGCCATCTATAATGTTTATAGTATGCAGTTTTAATCTCCAAATAAAGTGGACATGGAGAGGGACATACCATGATTGATGAATGAAACAGTAGCCACATTATCCTCCATAGACTTGTTTTCTCCATCGATAGGTGGGGCCGAAGATAGGTGTGCATCAAGGGAATGAGACATGCTAACATTGTTTTCCATGATCCCTGGGCTCGTTGACCATTCCCTTCTTCTACGCCTTGGTAATTTACCAGTATTCCTCTTTTGAGGTACTCTTGACGATCCTTCTGGTATTAAATGGGATTTGGATAGGCCTCCAAGACAACAACTGCTCTGTACAAGGATTAGAATAATGAATCCCCTCATATACCCTACTGAGAACTTCTAAATATAGTAAATGCTCAGTGAAATAAAGATGTAACTGACATGAAGTAAAAAAGGGATTTTTCAATGAAGAAAAAACATGAAGCGGATAAGCTATTGCTTTTTTTCAAGACATGACGACCACCTACCCCATAAATCTAAGAGAAATTTTCTTCAAGACGGTAATCCATTTAACATGACCAAATGCGAAGTCAACCAAAGGAAGTGATGGATATCAGTAAGGAAGAAGCCTTTATTTGCCCTGTTACATCAGGGTAAAAATCATCAGAATGTCAAACAGCAACAGCACTAGGACTGTTAGTAATCATATTAAAGAGATATTAAGATAACAAATCAACAAATGAAATAACTTCCTTATCAGGGAGAAAAAAAGAAAGTACAAAATGTGAAAGAAAAGAAACTTGAAATACATAGAAGTCTATAGTCAGTATATCAGTGGCAACTTAATCACAGAGGAATTACATGGTCGCAAATTCATGGCCTAACAGTAGGAAGATCGAGAAAGGATCAAATTGTAAAACTATAACAGCATTATAGATTTATTGAACAGTTACTGAAATATAGAAATCAAGAAATGACAACTTCTATACCAGCAAGAAAAACAAAGAAGATATACAGAAAAAGTTTAATATTTACAGAGAACCACAATCTTGTGATAAATAATAGTCAATACTCAGTATAAAAAGCACCGAGTAATCACTTAGGAGAATAAATAGTAGCCAGTACCAGATATAACGGTGACTACATAATACTTGGATGCACCTTCCACAAGCAAGCCTTTTCATTGTTTTTCTTGTACTTCTTACCCCAAGTTGGCCTGTTAGGTCTTATGACAAACCAAACTGCTTTTAATGACTATCTCCATCCAAGCACCTCAAAAGTTTCCAGTGATGCCTCCCCTATACCAAATTACTAGAGTCTCAAGTTAGATTTGTCCACATATTTAACCCATTGAGGTAGTTATAAGACTAGAACATAACAATGTCTAACTTAATCATAAAGGAACACTGAGATGAACATCTTCATCTAGTATCATGTGTATTCCCCGATTTGACTTTCCTAGCACCTGCGTATAGAAGCATTTTGATGATTAAGTTTGTGGTGGACAAACTTCCTATATGGTAACCACAGCTTCATCTATCACCCTCTAGTATAAACAAAGAGAGATGTTACTAAACAATATCCAGATAATCACATTGACTGGATTCACTTTCCTACAATGATTCAATTTTTCACTTCTAATTTGGTTGAAACCATTACATCAACAACCCGAACTACACATGAGAAGGCAATATTGGCACCCATTTTATAGGGAGGAAAAAAATTAAAAGAAAAACCCTAAAGCTAACCCTTTATTCAGCTTGCTCACCCATCTCACCGGAAACGGTTTTCAAATTTATCACTCACCTAATGAGCTTGGAATTGTGCTGATAATCCATCGAGGTAGCAAAAGAGATGCTTGGAAAAGGACTAACCGGACTGCCTATACAGCTACTGTCTTATCGCCCAAACTCCACCTCGTCTTTTGCTAAGCATATACAGGAATTACACGAGGAAGTCCATAGAAGAATTGAATTCATGCCAGCAATGAACACTGCAAGGAGCAAGCGGACATACACAGGCGACATGTAGAATTCTGTGTTAGGCGAAGAGTATATAGCACATATAAGCTTATAGAGCCAGTAGTTCGATGGCTTAATGCTTGCCAGGGAGAGTTCTATAGCCCTTAGGATAAAGACATGACCATAGGATTTCATAGAAAGCACCTTTTGGCTTCTCTTGAAGACCCACCAAAAGGCATGAATGGAGCATCAAAACTTCAATGATTTACTGATTGATTGAGATTTTTCAGAAGTAAAGACTACACTGATGCTCACTGCCTTCATTCCTACCTTGAGAATGGGAAAGAAGACAAGGGAACTACGTAATAAGGTAGAAGCAGGGAAAGAACTGCTTGCTCGCTTTCTGTTTTGACCTCATTCTTCCAACTTTCCTATAATCTATAGGCTTCAATGACTGGTCGTAGTTCAAGCCCCATCTTTCTGTTCGTATCGCCACGGAGCAATTGCAGTGTTCGGATATGATCTACCTACTCGGCTATCAATCCAGTGACTTCACGGTCACCAAAGAAGCCCCAACGAGGCAGTAATGAAGGAACCTGTGTGATGGTTGCCAGAACACACCTAGACATGATCGGTTCATACGGATGCCTCAGACTTTTCC